CCCCAAAACCCCAAAACCCCAAAACCCCAAAACCCCAAAACCCCATTCTATTTAATCGTTATTGACGAAATTTTGCAAAAATTTAATTGCTAAAATGGAAATTGAAGAAGACCAAAAAGAGACTAAACCACTTACTACTAAAAGTACGGCTGTTTTTAATAACAAATATAGCCTTTAATGAACTCATTAGGGCCCTAGACTCACAAGCATCACATACTTCATTTGGAGTGCTACCTCTATCTGTGGAAAAGACTGCTCCTAATTACAGTAAGTGCTCCTTATTCTAGAAAATATTTACATAGAATAGGTTTTCCCCTTGCTAAGAAGGATGATGGAGACAAGATAGTAACAGACCAGGAGATGGCAAAGACACAATTTGCTAGCAAGCATTCTCCAGGCCCTGTCTATGTGTATCAAGATGATACTAAATATCAGGCTGCACCAAAGTTTGGCTTTGGGACCGCTCCCAAAATTGAGCCTACAAAGCCAAAGTATGACTATTATGAAATTGACAAGATCATCGATTACCCAATAGAAGCTGATAAAGCTAGAAAGAAGAGATGATGAGTTCCAAAGATAGGCACAGAGCCGAGAATGCCAGTATCTTTTTTCTCTAGATCTCCAGGACCAGATTATAATGTTAACCAGAAACCTAACGCGAAAAATTCGGAAAAGTATACGTTTGGGTACCGAAGATCAAAGGGAGCCCAAGATAGTTTAATGAATAAGACTTCTACAACTAAGACAGTAGGACCAGGAAGATATGTACCTGAGTCGTGTCAAAACCCGAGTAACAAGAAAAACAACCCTAAATGGACACTTCCTAAGGCTAGAAGAAGTTTAGATCAGTCCAAAAGCCTCACGAAGCATCAGACTTATGATACGAGGTCATCTGTTGGGAAGCAATACACATCCAAAAACAAGAATGCAAGAGCTGCTCATTTTGGAACTGCAAGCAGAGGTAAGTTTACAGCTAGATAATACTTTTAGATGCCAAGGTAGGCCACTTCAGGGACACAATGGCAGGAGCCATGAAGGTCAGAATGCCTCATGCGTCATACTAAGGAACCCTTTTCTAGAATAATGCTTTCAATTTATCCAGAATCAGATGGGGTTTTGGGGTTTTGGGGTTTTGGGGTTTTGGGGTTTTGGGG